TATATATATATATATGTATATATTTATATATATATGTATGTATATATATGTACACACATATAACAGAGGGCACATAAAGAGATAGGGAACGCAGTTTTTTACCTAGAAGGATCAAGATGTGATTTACTTTACTGTAAAAACTCTTTCGAGCAACATTTACAAAGTGCAAAGGGAATGGGAAGTGAAGAAAACCTGAGCATGTCTGTGATTAACTTACGAAGGATATCATTAATACCAGAATGAAGTAACTAGGGAACTTGCTATAAGGTCCAACAATTTTAGAAACTCACGAAATCACGCTCCTATGAAATCAAATTAAGCCTGAAATTTTTCCTTTAAGGCCTTCCGACAGCCCTCTTTATTGTTATTTTACAGTATTCGAAGAGCAATTTCGGGCAGTCACTTTTTAAAATAGTATCGATACCATACTGTATCACAAGAAACGAAGCTGAGGAAAATTATCGTCAATTTTTATTAGTGCGTCCATAGAAGAATGCTAAAGGGTAACATTGTTACCGATACGTCCCGACAGATGAGGCTGAGAGGTCAAAGGTGATAAAGATTAAAAGATTATCCTGAAAGATGGGTGTGTCTTGGTGCAAAGGCTTCGGGGTCATGCTCTACATGTTTAGATCATGTTCAGATGCGCCGATGAACGGAAGAGAGAGAGAGAGAGAGAGAGAGAGAGAGAGAGAGAGAGAGAGAGAGAGAGGGTGGGGGAAGACAGAGAGAGAGAGAGAGAGAGAGGGTGGGGGAAGACAGACAGACAGACAGACAGACAGACAGACAGACAGACAGACAGACAGATAGATGGACGGACAGATAGAGACAAACTGACAGACAGACAGGAACGGTTTTTCCCTAAATTACAGAAAAATGCCAGTCTAGCAAGCAAAGCATAGACAGTCCCGATTCACGTCCAAAAGTTTGAATATAATATATGCATGTTACGGCGTCGGGGGTTCGAGCCGCGGGCCCAACGTTGTTTACCAGGAAAGGCACTTTTCATTATTTTTCCTCACTTCATCCAGGTGGAAAAGGGTACCCGGCCATAGACAGCGAAAGATCTTGTTAGTATGTTAATGTTTTAACGCCTATAAATGACTGCTTACACTGTGTATGCTTCCGAAGAAGTTGAGAATGTTTCAGAATGCTCTCAGGTCTTCTGGGGTAATAGTATAGATTGTGAAGCGTGTAGAGCTTGCTGTTGAGCGGGGATTTGCGCTATACAAATGGTTTCTATTATTACATGTATTAGGAGACTCGAACACGGACAGGCAAGCTTAAAACACCTAGAAGAACTTGATTTTCGAAAGCACTCTCACTCATTCTCTTCGACGAAACCGTTGCTGGTTGAAGGACACAGCTAGTACTGGTAGAATCTACCTCTTATCTTTCCTTTTGTTAACTCTTTTTTATGTTCCTAACTATAGGTCTAGTGATACCAAATTATGACCTAAATCGTGTTTATATGCTTGGGTTTGCTCAAACTCTGACTCCGACAGAAAAGTTCAGTAGTAATAAAGAGTTAGTAATAAGTAGCGGCCCCAAACTACTCAAAGTATTAAACAGATCATTGACTAAAAGTACATCCGCCCCACCCCCATCCCCCCTCCCACACACACTGCCATCCCCCATCTCCCCTACCACCCCCTTCCCATCCCTCCTCACTTATATCCCCCTCCCATCACCCTTCCCCCTTCCAATCCCACCCCCCAAAAAAAAACAACAACAACACAACAACACCCAACCTTTCCCCATTACATGGAAGGTAACCCGTGTGGGGAGTCGAAATAATTAACTGTGTGCTTTAAGTCATTTTTAATGGTTCGTCGAGGAATCTTCTCTTCACCCCTCCTCTCTCTCTATCTCTCTCTCTCTCTCTCTCTCTCTCTCTCTCTCTCTCTCTCTCTCTCTCTGACCCCCCTCTCTCTCTCTCTCCCTCTCTCTCCCTCTCTCTCCCTTTCTCTCTCTTACTCTCTCTCTCTCTCT